GGAGGGGGCGGTGAGCGAGGTGGCGGTGAGGGAGGGGGCGGTGAGGGAGGGGGCGGTGAGGGAGGGGGCGGTGAGGGAGGTGGCGGTGAGGGAGGGGGCGGTGAGGGAGGGGGCGGTGAGGGAGGGGGCGGTGAGGGAGGTGGCGGTGAGGGAGGTGGCGGTGGAGGACGGGAGGGCAATGGGTGGTGGCGGTGAGGGAGGGGAGGGATGGGGGAGGGATGGGGGAGGGATGGGGAAGGGATGGGGAAGGGGGGGGCGGGGGATGTGAGGCTCGCCCGTGCCTCGGGGGGTGTCTCACAGGTCAGTTCAGGAGGGAAGAGGGCGTGTCTCGCAGGAAGTGTCTCGGAAGCGTCGCCTCCGTCGTCGGCGTCGTACATGACGAGGCGCCGGTCGGGGGGGAGGGCGGCGGAGGCGCGGAGGACGGTGCTGAAGGAAGCGCGCAGCGCCGCGTCATTCTCCTGCGGCGCGCGCAGCCGCCACCCGCGCAACGCCTCGGGCGTCGCCGCCGCCGCCTCAGGCAGCGGCGTCTCGGGGTCTGTTGTCCAGCTTGGCAACATATTGCAGCACGAAGGTGAAGCAATTGAGGTGCCGGTGGTTGAAGGATTTGGAACGCTTGTTGCTCAGCTCGCCAATCATCCCCACATGGAAGCGCCCTGCGGGCGCAGCAGGGCGGCGGAGAGGTCAGGCCGGCGCGGCGCGGAGCAGAGACGCGGAGCGGGGTGGGCGAGGAGGCGAGGGTGGGAGGGGCAGCCGAGCCCGCCGCCAGCAGCCGCAGCCAGGCAGATAGGGGTGGGAGGGCGGGGTGGCGGAAAGCGGGCCGCGGCAGCACCTGGAAATGGACCTAGGATTCTGGCCCCGGGTTATTTTATTTTGCGGAAACTGGGATTCGACCTTGATTGTGTGTGTATGTTTTTCTTCTGCATCCCTCCTTGCACGACGAGGACACCGACTCCCTGGCCGACTTGCCCGCACCACTTGCGATGTCCGTCCCTCGCAGCCGCAAACTAGCCGCCGGTGGCAAGTCGCGACCCTTTTGGGAGCTTCGCGAAGACCGCGCGAAGCCGGCGCCGCAGCCGTCACCGGCCCCCGCTCCGGCCCTCTGCGCCAGTCTCGCGCGCTGCCTCCCCGAAAGGCCGCCGCCGCCAACGCCAACGCCAACGCCGCCGCCAACGCCAACGCCGCCGCCAACGCCCCCGCCGCCAACGCTGCCAACGCTGCCAAAGAAATCGACGACGACGACAACCGCCGCAGACGCCGCCGCCGCCGTGCGGCTGCAGAGGTGCTGGAGGGCGAGACGTGAGGTGCCGCGGCGGCGCCGTGCGTCCTCCTTCTCGCAGGAGCGCTGCTGGTTGGCGCGGCCAGCGTCGCCCCTCGGCTGCGTGCGTGATTTCGCCGCGAGGCGGCGAAGGAGGGGCGATGCTGGCCTCTGCGGCTCGCCCAAGGGGATCGGCGCTGCTGCCGCCGCCGCCACCGCTGTCGGGAGGCCGGGCCGGAGAAGGACGGTGTCTGCTGCGTCGCTGGAGGCGAGGAAGAGCCAGCTGCTCTGGCTCGCGGCCGCAGTGCGGAGGCCGAGTCGAGACGCGTGAGCGCGCTGTTTGGACCGGAAGAGACTACACACCCGCTCAGCGGGGCGCGCGCTGTGTCTGTCCCGAGGGAGGTCTGCGCGCTGTCCTCACCTCGTGTATCATTAAGAAATCTTTTCTAGACCCCTCGCCCCTCGCCCCACCAGAGCGCCAGCCGTCCCCTTGCCTTCCTCAACCACTCGCCCAGGGACAATACGGAGCCACCGCCGGAGGAGCTGCCCAAGGAGGTGCTCGCTCGCGTCAGGCGCTTAATGAGGTGAGCCTTGTCCACTGGCTCCGCCCCAAGGTCGCGCATAACGTGGCGCAGGCTACGGGCGGGGGGTGGCAGGGGCGACGTCAGGTGAGGGTTAAGCAGAGGCTGGAGGTGAAGAGAGATGCTTGTTGTGGACCTGATCTTGCGGTGGTCGGCGCCGGGATAGAGAGGCACCGCCACCAGATCAAACAGCTTGTATGGCGACTGCTGCAGCACGTCCGGCGCAAGGTCAAAATAGCACGCAAAGACGCAGGCGCCCCTCTCCTCGTCCTGCTCGTGCACCAGCGCGATCGGCACCCTAGCGTCCATCGCCCGCTGCACCGTGGCTGCCACCACGCCCCCAGCGTCGGTGAAGGCCCTCTCGTTTAGGTAGATGAGGAGCCCCACGGCGCCGGGAGGTTGGGTGGCGCCTGCCGCGAGGACAGCTCCCGCCTCCTCGACCCTGACTGTGCTGTGGCTGCTCGTCCGTGCCGCGGTGGCCCGGACCTCGTCCGCCACCGCCCGCGCCCCCACGTTCGCGTCACAAATCAAGATCGTAATGCAGGGCGGAGGAAAGCGGAACAAAGAGAGCTCGCCGGGCAGTGTGAGGCCGCGATCTAGGTCGCTGGGGTTCGAGACGTAGTAGGGCAGCTGTCGCAGCACCCGCAAGGCGATCTCCTTTAGCGACACAACCTATAGGACGACATAGCAGTCTCTCACAGCCAGCGGCGTGGGGAGGAGGATGGCGGCATTCGGGCCTGGTAGTCGTGCAGCCGCAGCCAGGGCACCGGATCTCGCGAAAAGACTCTGGCGACCACATCCTCCGCGCTAGGGATGCCGGGTACTTGCGGTGCGAAGCAGCGACGGGCCTCAGCCTGCATCTCCTCGACCGTAGCACCTACTCGGCGGCAGTCACCAAAATCGGGGCGGCGGAAGCGTGGGACCGTCTCAGAGAACATACCAAGCTCGCCTCCTTTATCCTTGTCCGCCTCAATCATCGCCTCGATGGGTTTGTTGTTGGTGAGGGCCGCGTAGACCTCGCGCCGGCAGTTGTGACTCGCAAAGTAGCCCGAGGAGAGAAAGATGAGCATCACCGCTGCATTGGCCATCGCCTCCTCCAGCTTGCCGATGTCGTCTAAATTGACCACGTCAAGCCAGATGCGGATGCCGGGTAGCATCAGCTGCAGCTGTCGAACTAGCGCGTGGGTCTGGTCAAACCCGCCTTCTACCTCTCCGCCACGCTCGCGCTCGCGCTCGCGCTCTACGGTGGTCCTAGATTATACTGCCAGAGGCACTGCAGCAGCCTTCGCACAAGCAGCCTCACCGGCTCCGCAACCGTGCCTCAGTTGTCGCCGTGGCCTCCTTCACGGTGGTCAACGGCCACCAGCTCGCGCTGCTCGGCGCCGCCGCCTGGGCTCGCGCCGTCCATCGAGGTTCGCGGGATTGTGAGGTTGCCGCCTTCTCTCCCCACAGGCTCCGGCTCGGGCTCTCTCGACCGTGCGGTCGCGGTGATGCTGAAGCAGCACAGGCCACTCTTCCGCCTTTCGGCGCTGACGATGGTCGCCGTCGTCGCTGCCGCCATCTCCATCGCTTGGCTCAAGATGGAGACGATATGGGCGCTGGTCGCGACGGCGGTGTTTGTGGGGTGCTTCGTCGCCATCGCCGCCACCCTCTCTCGACTCGACCGCGTGATGAACCTGGGACACATGATACATGGAGACGCGCACGTCGATGTCCACAACGAGCGAGGCGACCAGATAGACTTGGCCCGCCTCGATGCCAACGACGGGCACGTGATCCAGCGCCAGTCCACCTTCTCTCCCTTCCAGTCCACATTCCTCCCCTCGAGCCGTCAGCCCTTCGAGGCCTCGTGCGCGCCCTCGGGCCACTCGGGGAGCAGCGAGTACCGCCCGCCCGCCTTGCCTGGAGGGCGGCCCGTCCGGGCGGCAAACTGGAATGCACAGTTGCACGCGTGGCAGGCCGTGGGGCCTCACGAGGAACTCCCTCCCTCCCGCCCGTGAATAGAGGTACGTACACTGAAAAAGTACGAGCCTCGGCCGTCCCGCCTCCACTCCCGTCGGGGGATCCTCCCCTGCAAGCCGCGGCACGCCTCCTCCAACAGCCTCCCTCCTCGCGCGGCGCTCCTCGCGTCGGAGGCGGAGGAGAGGCGTTGCTCGTTCGGGGGAATGAATTATTTTCTTTTCCGATCAAAAATCCTAAAAAATCGATGTGCGCGAGAATGCAAGGCAATCGGCACAGATGGGGGGGCCCTGTGGCCCGTGAAGATCGAATTTTTCCACGTGCTACTCGACACGTCCGCTACGACGCCATTCACTCCGCCCCGTCGAACACGCGGCCGACGCGCGCCGCGCCGCGCACGTGCGGATGGAGCGCCTCCGGCGGCTGGCCGGCGAGAATCTGCGCAATGGCCTTGCCCGCGCCGAAGCACTGCGGCATGCCATGGCCGCAGAAGCCGGCGGCGACGAGCACGTGCGGCCGCTCCGGCAGCGGCCCGATGAGCGGCTTGCCGTCGTGGGTGAAGCCGAGCACGCCAGTCCACTCCGCCTCGACTCGCACGGCGCCGTCGGCCGCGAGCGCGGGCAGCCGCTCCGCCAGAAAGCGTCGAAGGTACTCGCCGACTGTGTCGGAGAGCGAAGCGTCGTCGGTGCTGCCCACCGCGGCGGCCGGCTCGAGGGCGCGCGCGCCGCCGAGGCAGACGCGGCCATCGGATCGGCGGATGCAGTAGAGCTCGCGCGCGCCCGCGTCGCCGTCCACAGCAAAGGCGCCGACTTGCCAGTCCTGTGCCGCGGGCAGCGGTGCGGTGAGGAGCACCTGGTTGCGCGCCGGATAGAGATGCGACTGGAGCTCCGGCAGCAGCTCGCCCGTCCAGCCGTTGGTCGCGACGACCACACGCCGCGCGTGCAGCACGCCCTCCGCCGGCGTGTCCGCGCCGTCGGCGCTCCGCCACGACAGCAGGCAGCCAGCGCCGCCCGGCTCGTCCTCGAGGCTCACGACGCAGACCGGCGCGACCAGCGTCGCACCCGACGACTGCAGCAGTGCCTGGGCCACCTTTGCCGGGTAGAACTGCGCGGCATCCGAGTAGACCTCCGCCGCAATGAAGGCGTCCGTCTGCAGCCGCGTGCGGCACGCGGATTCGTCCCACGCCGCCGTCTCGCCCCACCTTTCGGCGGCGGCGTCCTCCGGGTCGCCCGCCGCGTCGTGGTACGTGACGCCCGTCTCCGCCTCGCGCCGTGTCAGCGCGGCCGCGCCGCCCTTTTGGAGATCGCACTCCACGCGCTGATCCTCGATAAATTGCAGCAGCTCGGCCGTTGTGTCCACCTCGAATGCGGAGTTTGGGTTCAGCCAGAGATGGCCGCCGTTGCGGCCCGTGGCGCCACCCGCGACGCCGCGAGCGTCAAGCAGCACGACGCTTCCGCCGCCCGCCGCGTCGAGCACGCGTGTCCAGTGCGCCACTGCGCAACCAGTCATGCCGGCACCGATGATCGCCAAGTCGCACGATGCTGGTGGCACGGCAGCGCTCGCGACGGACGGCGCATTGGCTAGCCACCACGAGGAGGTGGGGTTGGGACGTGGGCCGACGGTAGCAGCCATGATGGGCTAGGCGGGGACCAACCTGCTTTCTTCTTTCGCGCACAAACCAGAACGCCCGGTTCTCGAAACGCGTCCGACCGGCGAAAAACCGTCGGGCGTCAGGGTGTGGAACCGAATGGCAGTACCGCCCCTTAATGTGGTCGGCCGTGGAGTGTGCAGGAGATTGCTAGGAATCTTCCTTGTGGGTCGCGAACAATTTGTTCGGTCTTCTCTACCACTTCCCCGAGGCCGTTCGCAATTTCTTCTTATCGCTCGAGGTTCTCGAATGTCCGTGAGTAAAGATCTAAAGAAGCTCGAGCGAGCCCGCGCCCGTGACACGCGGCAGTGCCAGTGGTTAGAATCTGGGGCCTACAGCAGCTCCGGTAGGTGTCGATACGATTTTGCGTACAGCCAGCGACTGCTGCACTCTGCGGCTGTGCTGCGTAACCAACGGCTACTCGAGTACAGCGTACGTGGTACTTAGTAGTCGAGCTCGGTAGACGGTACTCTTCCGTCAACGAAATCTATTTTTTCGACGCGGAAGGGTCAAATTGCATTGGCCATTGGCATTTGCCTTTCGCGTTCGCTGAATTGTGGCTGATGTTTGACGGCTACAGGTTGCAGCGTGCGGCACTGTCTGACTGCCGTCGACGGCACGATAGACATTAAAAAACACAGGAAAGTTTCGGGCCTGGCAACTGCTATTGGTAGCCTCGTTCGTTGGCTGTAATCACTCCTGTAACCTGTAACCTGTGTTAGTCCCAACCTTTGGGGACCAGAGACCGCTCAAGCTTTCGCACTGTTGGACTGCAGGAGCGCTCGGCCACCCCTTCGAACTCCTGCCGTGCGGCCCAGTACAATTGAGTGGCGCAGCGGTTGCGCTGCTCAAATTCAGCTCTGCTTGGAAGTTGCGCGAACACGTCCAACTTGTGGCGCAGGTCGGTGATGATCTTACGGGCGTTCCAGCAATCGGTGCAGGTGCGCGCGTCCGTGCCTTCCTCACATGTGGTCGACCTCCAGTCCGACGTCGCATTGGCGCACAGCTTCGCCACTCTGGCCTGTTGAAGCTCCAAAGTCACTTCAGTGGAGCGAATGTACTCAGAGGGGGATTTGGCGCTGGACGTGACGTTGCGATTCCTCTCCCACGCCGCAGACGACGCCAACTTGCGAGCCAAGCCTTGTGCGGGAGCGCTTTGCGCATCGCACCTCACCCAATCACTCAGTACCCTCCAGACGTCGCCCATCTGTTCGGTAAACCCCACGAAGTCAAAATTGCGTAGGAGCTGCAGCGTGGCGTTCACATCGCAGCCGTTAGAGCAGACACCCATCATCGAGTTTGTAGAGCAGACCAAGTAATCTTGAGGATATATATCCAGAAGAGTGGAGTCATTGAGAGCACGTGGGCTGGGAGTGAAGTGAGCCACGTCGCTCAGCCACTGGCTCCACGGCTCGCGCAGCACGACGAAGCGTCGAAGGCCGCACGTCGCAGGGCAGTGGCGCAGAAGTACGTTGGTGTCCCTGTGCAAGAACCCTGCCGGAGGGCGGAGGCTGGTCATGTTTGTGTGTCAGAGCCGCTGTGGTGACTTCCGCGCCTCGCACGTGGCGCACCGCACCTTGCCAGGAATAGTGCAACTCCGCGTAAGAGTGAAGGCGCTCTGTCGTACGGGAGTGCAGCTTGAACATGTTTCGGATCTCGGTGCCGGCACACTTGCGCAGGTGCCAGTGATGGATGCGCATGGCAGGGCAGCCTCCGTCCGCTACTTGTCTGGCCATGCATGGCTGGTCTCCTGACATGCCCTGATGGCACTGCGGCTGCCGTAGAAAGGACGAGCAATGCAAGGCTCACAGGCAGGGACCCGACGAGTCGAGCTTCGAGACGGTCACCACCGCTGGCAGCCAACACTCGCGCTCACTGGCGCTGTCTCTGCGTCACTTGGGGCGATATTTGATGGGGCCCGGAGAGTGGAAGGTTCCTACCGTTTCGTCCCCTTCGAACACTTGGATGGGGTCGATTCCGCAGGGCTTGCAACCGCAAAATTCTTTTCTTGGTGTACCTGTGTTTGTGCCAGTGCGCGCCAGTCCCGTGCCCAGTGTCGTGCGAGGGAGTTTCCTTCTAAACTTCTTTTCTGCGTGCCCACAGTGTCGTGCGAGGCATTTTAGTCGTACAAGCGAGCGCTAGTGAACGCCCAGGGAACCGATACGAGTCGGCGTCGGAGTCTGGGGGGGTGGGAGGGTCGGGGCGCACCCGCTCGCGGTCCTTGGTCGCCTTGCCGCCCGCTCCGCCGCCGTCGCCGCCGCCACCGCCGCCTCCCGGTGGGGGGTCCTCCCCGTCGGGCGTCGGGCTGGGCGGCTTGAGCCTCGAGCCACTCGAGCCGCTTGCGAAGCACTCGTAGCTCCTCGGCCGAGTCCACAGGAGCGGGAGGCGCGGCTGGGGCCCCGTCGGTGCCCCCGCCAGCCCCCGAGGGAGGGGGCTCCGGCCCAGAGCCATCCTTTGCCTCTGCGGGCCGTGCGCCTTGGTCAGCGTCGGAAGCGCGCTTTGGCGCGGATTTGCCCATATCGTTGGGCGCACGGAGGGAAGGAGAGGTGGGCTCCTGCCCGAGAAGGTTCGCGGGACCTGCGCAGAGCTCGCTCTGCGTGATGCCGCTCGAGCTTGGGCGTGCACGCAAGGGGTCACGCGCAAGCAAGAGCAAACAACTGGGAAGTTCACAGCTGAGCTTACCCAGAGAACGCCGTTCTCACCCAATTTTTTTTCGCGGCCTTTCTTTTTTATCCCCCGCAACCGTTCTCGCCGACATGGACTTCCTAGTCTGTCTTTCGACGACCTACCTCCTGACATCCTTGCGGTACTTGTTCAACGCCTCGACGTTGTGTCCCTGGTGCTGTTCTCCGCTCTGAACGGCGCCACAAGAGCCGCCTCATCCACAGAGCTTCGAGCTCTGAACGGCGCCACAAGAGCCGCCTCATCCACAGAGCTTCGAGCGGCCAGGGACGCCTTTGAGGCGCTTCTCGGTCTCTTCGGCGGCGACGCGGCGGCGCGCACGGCGGCGCACAATTGACGAGGGTCGCGCCGCACCCCACGGCGGCGATCGTACCATCGCCGCTCTCCGGCAGCGCGGGCTCCAAGGGGTCCAAACTGGATCCCTCGGTCCCACCCCCGGTTCCACCTTCTGCGGCCTGCGCGTCGCAGGCACCGCCGTCCGCCTCTTGGGGGCGCGCGCCGCCGCGGCCCACGCCGCCAGCCGCCGCCCCGCCGCCGCGCTCCTCGCCAGCAGCCGCCTGATCGCCAGCCGCCACCCCAGCTGGGGTGTCGTCCAGCAACAAACTGCCAAGGGATGCCGCAAGGACAGCAGCTGCGTCCCCCCAGCCCCGCCGGCCGAGAAGAGCTTGACGGAGCTTCTCCGCCTGGCGGTCGTGGATGTTGAGCGAGCCGATGCCCTTCTCAGCGACCTCCTCGAGGAGGTCGCCAGCATCGCCAACGCCCAGCTCCGCGAGCCGCCCCTCATACCTGCGGTAGAGGCTGTCGGCGACGCGCGCGCGCTTGAACAGAGCCGCGAGCGGCTCTCCCAGGTCGATGGCGGGCGAGGCCGCCATCGAAGGCCTGGTGCCCGGCCGCGTGGCCCCCGGGCTGCGGGTGGGTGCTCGCTGTGGCGGCCGCCGAGAGGGCAGAGAGCGGCGGCAGGCCGCCGGGGGAACAGCGTTCAAAAAAGAATTTAGCCGGCACAAAAAATAATTTATGGCTATTCCGAGCGGTACACGCACTTAAAATCCCTGTCGGTGTGGTGGCGGCGTGCCGTCCTCCCATCTCACGATGGCTGAGCTTGGTGGAGCGGTACGTCGGCTTCAACACCCAAACAAAGGACGTTACAAACAATGGCTTCCCTCGAATCACTGCGCGGTTGGAGAGTATTGCAGCCCAAAGGATTTTTACCTACATACATATGGCCTGGCCAGCGAGCGTCGCGCACGAGAGCGAAAGCGAGGGCTGGAGAGGCTTCAAGCGAGGGTGGCCTGTTCACGCGCCTCGTTTGGCGGCACTGCATTAATCACCACAGCGAGGTTCTTCGTGATTCGTGAGGCGGGATTCGTCGAAGCGCATTTTGTTGGACGTGCGGACGGCCATCCAATGGCCTTCACCGACTACAGCGAGCGCGCCTCTCGGATGATCCGCCGCTGGTCTGGCGTGCGCGACCCGCCGCGCAAGCCCTCCCAGCAGCAGGAGCTGCCTCGCGTTTGCGTTGCCCGACGGCCGCCCTCGCTGTGGCTGCCGGCCCTCTACAGAGTAGCTCTGCGGCTGGCATCGCTGTGGCGGCGAATCGTCTCGCTGGCTCCAGTCGCGAAGCTCCTTTGCGCGCCTGCCGCCGAGGACGAGTCGAGCCAGCCCGCTCCTTTCCAGGACGAGTACGTGGAGCCGGCCCGCTCCATTCCAGTCTCAGACACGTGCGACGTGCTCGTTGTCGGTGGCGGGCCTGCCGGCCTGTCTGCGGCGGTCGCGGCTGCCCGCGCGGGTGCGAGCACGATGCTGATCGAGCGGCACGGCTGCTTTGGCGGCTGCATCACAACGGTCGGCATGGAGACGCTCGGCTGGTACCGCTACGAGGGAGTGGTGGAGTGCGAGACGGGCATAGGCATGGAGATGGAACGGATGGCCGCCCGGATGGGCGGGACAGTCAAGTGGCCATTCAACTCGTCCGAGTGCCTCGACGCGGACTACTTCAAGATTGTCGCCGACCACCTCGTCTCCGACGCGGGCGTGAAGCCTCTCCTCCACACCATCGTGGTCGAGGCGATCCACGAGGGCGGCGCGCTCGCGGGCGTCATCGTCGAAAACAAGTCCGGCCGGTCGGCTGTGCGGGCGAAGCGCGTCATCGACTGCACGGGCGACGCCGACGTTGCCTATCTCGCCGGTGCGCGCTGCACCAAGCGCGACCGGCGCGAGCGGATGGGCGTGAGCACCGTCTTCTCGTGCAGCGGCGTCGACAAGCAGGCCTTCATCGACTACACCGAGACAAACCCCGCCACGTACAAGACGTGGTCGCGTCGCGGCGGGGAGTGGTGCCAGCAGACGGCCGACAAGGAGGAGCACCTTCGCTCGCCCTTCCTGCAGGAGGAGTTCGAAAAGGCGATCGCCGCCGGAGTGATCCCGGCGACGCCGAGCAACATGGACCTGGGCGGCTCCTGGTCGGCGCTCTCCGATGCGGGGGAGGCGCCCTCGCCGCCGCCACCCTCGTCACCGCCCTCGCAGCCCATCGTAACCCCCGACGCCGCCCCCAACCCTCCAGGCGACCAACCTGAACCTGGTCCATCAGCCGGGGGTGGACGGCACCGACGCGGCGGAGCTTACCCGCGCCGAGATGGAGGGGCGCGCGCAGACGCTCCATGCGATCGCGGCGCTCAAGCACGCGGTGCCGGGCTTCGAGAAGAGCAAGCTGCGCAACTTCGGGATGCAGGTGGGCGTGCGGGACACGCGCAAGATCGTCGGCCGGTACGATCTGGTCGGGGAGGACGTGCGCGGCGAGGCGCGCTTCGACGACTCGGTCGGCATCTTTCCGGAGTTTGTCGACGGCTACAATATCCTCATCCTGCCGACGACGGGCCGCTACTTCCAGGTGCCGCTGCGCTGCATGCAGTCGCCCGACGTCGACAACCTCCTCGTCGCGGGCCGCTGCGTCGCGGGCGACAAGGTGAGCCACGCGGCGATGCGCAACATGATGGCGTGCACCGTCACGGGTCAGGCGGCCGGCACGGCCGCCGCGGTCAGCATCCGCGAGGGCACGAGCACGCACCACGTGCCTGTGGATGCGGTGCAGCGCGAGCTGGTGCAGCAGGGGGTTCGCATCTCCTGAGCCGCGGCTGGGTTGGACTCAGCCGCGCTAACGGCGGCGTTCGCTCAGGACAAGTCCGGTTAGACGAACGGTACGTATCCGGCATTTCGGGGTTGGTTCGAAACCGCTCGTACGTACTATACGTGGGTGGCGCGGAAGTGGCAGGGTCACTGGGGCAGGGTCTCTCTCGCTGTGTGTCTGCGGTGGGAGTGCGCAGTGCGGTGTGCAATGTGGGTGTGGGCTGCGTGGCGTGTGGCGTGTTGCGACAGAGTCGGTATGTCGCTTGTTTGTCGGTTTTGCGGGTTGGCGTCTTGCGAGCGAATAAATAAATAAAAACGGAACCTCTCGACTGTGAGATGGGTAAAAAGGAACAGGCCCCCGCCCTTGCGATCTTTGTGCAGGGTTCTTTGTGGGTGTGGTCGGCGACTAGCCGGGGTCGTCCTCCCCGGTGGGGGACTAGCACTAGCCGTCTTCCACATGGTCCCTCGGGTCCCTGCTGCTCCTAATCTCTTCGTACATCCTCCTGCTGATCTCCGCAAAGTCCTGCTCCCTCCCTCGTCTCGCCCTGCGCGTCTGCTCCGCCTCTTGCGAGCGAGCGAGTGCGAGAGGCTCAAAGCATACTGGGCTGGGTTTTTAGGCATTGTGGGGTTGGCACTCCCATCGACCCTCATGACCTCCTGCGGTCTCTGAGATGGACACCAGTGGGTGTGGGACCACAGCAAGGATACACTCGAAGACTGGGTAAGCAGTAGAGGTCGATACTCGACGCGTCCCACATGGTCTGTGTCGCTGTCGGCACGCTGTCGACAGGACGTCGAGCGACACCGGTGGCAGTGCCACCCAGGAGTGGTCGGGCGGTCTCCCGTCATGAAAGAGCCACCATGTGATCCGTATGATGATTCCTGACAACCGCCTCAGTCGACTTTTGTCACAGTTCCCGCTCTGAGAGGAGCTGCGGGTCAGTGACAGCTGGAGCTGTGTCGCCGGCGTGCGGCGGCCTGCCTCCGGAGGTGCCTCTGAGGTGGACATCTTTTGGTCACCGTGAGAGAACGCGTTCGAATTTTCACTCCGGAACTTCAACTGAGCACGCGCACCGGCCAGGGCTACAATAGTGCCAGTGAGGCGGAGGCGCGAGTCGGAAGGCCGCGACCGTCAAGTGTTTTCGTCATTTTCCTCAATCGCTGTGAACCCAGCCACGTAAGCGTTTGTCAAAAAGTTGTCAGATTGTACGTACGAGAGAAATGGGGAGAGGGGTTCTCACTTCTCTCAGTGATGTACGCTGCCACTCCCACAAAACGCGACCGCCGCGCGCGATGTGCTATAGCCGCGATGTGATCTACGAACGCTCCACGCGCCGATCGCTCGTATCTAGAGAGAGGGCACAGTCTCCGCGCCACACACGCGGCGGCGGGGAAACGCGCGCAACGCCCCGGCCGCCGCGACATGCACGAAAGCGGATCCGCTCCTAGCCACGCCCTCCCTCCCGCTACCCCCCCTTGTCCACGAACATCCATCCCTGCAGGCTCAGCGCCCCCCTCGCGCCCCAGCCTCGCCCTCCCGCCAGACGCCCCACCGGAAGCAGCGCCCGCCCTCCCCCTCTGCGCTGGAGCCGTCGCCAGAGGCGGAGAGGCGCACCACGCGCAGAGGAGCGACCTCGACGCGGCGAGGCGTGAGCACGTCTCGCGCGAGCCGCTCGTCCTCACCCTCGTCCTCACCCTCGTCCTCCTCGTCGTCGTCGTCGTCCTGCTTGGCGCCTTGAGGGGCAGAGAAGGCGACGCGGTTGGGGGAGGGGAGAGCGACGGGGGGCGAGGCGGGGAGGAGGAGAGGGAGGGGAGGAGAGGGAGGGAGGGGGGGGGCGGGGGAGGGGGAGGGCGGGGGAGGGGCAGCAAGAGGTGGCGGTGCGCCTGCCGCCGCACACGCAGCAGCTCGACCGCACTGCAGCACGCTCCCGTCCGAGCAGAGGAGCAGAGAGTGGGCGCAGCCCGCGGCGGCCTGAGGGGAGGGGCAAACACTTCAGACGCGCCAGTGTGTCGGGGTGTGTGGAAGGGCCAGGCTGCCCCTCGCCCCCCCCCCCCCCGTCTTCCCTCCCGGCCCCGCCGGCAGCGGCAGTGCAAGCATCCAAGCGCGCGTGTGTGAGCGGCGAGCGGTGGAGGGGCGGCTGCCTGGATGGCGCGGGTCGGGGGCGAGACTGCTTCGACGCGCCGCGGCGAAAGAACCGAGGAGCGGCCTCCGTGTCCGAGCTGGCCGTGCCGGCCCCAGCCCCACGCGTGCACCTGTCCGCCAGAGCAGACCGCGAGCGAGTGCGCCGCTCCCGCAGCGATGCTCTGCACTGCAACTGCGAGCGAGCTGATCCGGCGCGGGACGGGCACCGTCGCCTCGTCGCCGTGTCCTAGCGGCCCCTCCCAGCCCGCACCGCACGACCAGACCGCGCCGTCTCGGTCGAGGAGCAGCGAGTGGAGCGAGCCGGCGGCGGCGGCGGTGGCGCGGAGGCCGGGCACGTTGAGCGGAGTGGGCGACGCCACGGGTGCGCCCCACACCTCACCAAGCCCGAGGTGCGCCACAAAGACCTCGCCCTCCTCGTGCAACGCGCTGCTCCCCGAGACAAGGACGCCATCGGGGGCGATGCGAATTGCGTGGTGGGCTGAGGCGGCGCACGCAGTTGCGCCCGCAGGCTTGGGTGGCCGGAGCGTATCCATGGTCGAGCTCGGAGAGCAGCCGAGCGGCTCGCCCTCGGGCGGAGGCTTGAGCGGCGCGATGGAGAGGCTCGCCATTGAATCGTCAATCAGAACAACAGGGCGGGCGTTTATTTTTGCCCCAGCCGTCATCCTGAAATTCAAACCTGACCGGTCCCTGCGGTGCCCCTCCCTCCCTCCCTCCCTCCCTCCCTCCCTACCTACCTACCCACTTATGGGAAACTAAAACAGAAATCATGCGACGGGTGAAGGTGGGGTACTATACCACTAAAGTGATGGTTTGGTGGTACTCTCCTGCAACCACAGTCCTTCCTGAGACATATGGCAGTTGCACCGGCGGGATTTTACCTATCTCAACTGCCATGTCGGCCGGTCGTCGGCTGCTGCTCTCGCCTCGCTGGCGGCGCGGTCTAGTGCCGCGGCTCCCAGCTCTCCGGTGGGCTCGCGGCGGCTCGCCGCCGTGGATCAGGAGAGAGATTTATTTTTTGAGAGAGATTTTTAGCAATACCAAACAAGTCTAACAGTTTTTGTTGTTGGATCAGAACAATGGGATCGGTCCGGGTTCGTCCCGGCGAGCGGCGTGCCGCCGGTCGGTGCCGCTTCCTCGCCGAAATTTTGCTCAACCTCGCAAGGGTGTGCGGTACTGAATTGTCCACCAACAAACAATCAACCCATACACCGCGCTGGTCCAGTACGAGCCTGGCTCTTCACCTTCCTACCTAACCTAGCCTAACCTGGTCTCTATCTGTGGGCGCATGTTGAAACACACGTGCACGCTTGGGGGCCCCCGGGGGGGGAGGAGGGGGAGGAGAACATCAAGGCGGGCAGACGTTTTCTTTTCGGAAGGGAAATTTCCGATGGGAATAGAAAAGAAAACGTGCCCCTCGGCCAGCGGCGGCTACACGTCGTATCGCGGCAAGAACCGATCGTGCTCGGGCCGGGCGACGCCCTCGTCTTCAAAGCGAGCGAGCTGTGCCATCCTGCAAGTGCACTCGGCCATCGTCGCGAGGCGCAACGCCGCCATCTTCGACTACAACGCGTGGCCAAAGATGGGCGGCGAGATGCCGCGGGCGCCCCGAGAGCAGTACGAGTAGGGACGGGCGAGGGAGGAGGGGCGCTAACCACGGGCGACTACAAGTCGAAGGTTCGAGGACGACTACTCACCGCCTGGGTCGTTTGGGGCGCGCGGCTCCGTCGAGGACCGGGCGCGCCCCTTGCCCGGCGCGGCGTAGGTCCCACTCTGACGTATAGAGGGGAGGCACGGACACCAGCCCAATCCATCAATTCCACTCGTCTTCTGGTGCCTAGCCCCGTGCAGCGGCGGTCCGGCAGGCTGCCCCCAAGGCCCCCTGGGCCGCTGCGGGTTTTGGAGTTATGCTTTGGCACAGCTTCGGCGATGGCGGCCCCTCTCTGGGGCTTGCATAGGCGGGGAGTCTCCCCCGCTGGTCTCCTCATTCCCTTTTTTCTTTTTCTTTTGAGAGCAGGACGCCGGGTTTGTCTTGTATGTGCGTGTCGGGCCGGGGTGTGGGCGAGGGGCAGAAGGGGCGGGGGCGTGCGGGGCAGAGTGCGTGTCGGGCCGGGGTGTGAGCGAGGGGCGGGGGCGTGCGGGGCAGAGGCCCAACGTCGGGCGGCTTGTCGGGGTCCGGAGCATTCGAGGGGGGAACGAGGAGGGGGGAATGGGCGGTCGGCGACGAGTAGAGCAGCAGGCGCGTACGGGGTAGCCGTCACTTTCCTGCCTCACAAGGGCGGGGCTGTCCCGGAAAGTGAGAAACGCCGGGCAGCGTGGCGCATTACTGAACCCTCCCATACGTGCTCGTACTCCTCCTTCGCTGTCCCATCTCCCCACCTCTTTCCCGCCTGGGCGGGGCGGTGGGCGGGCGCGCGGTGCGGCGCGGCGTGTGCGTGTGTGCGTCTGCAACGAAGGACCGCTCGCAGAGGACCATTGGGTTTGTACTATTAACAACGAAGGCGCTCTCAAAAAAAAAAAAAGAAAACGCGAATATCACTGGGTGTCAAGCAGCGCGCTGCCGAACACACAAATGCTCAGCGTCCACGCCGCGCTGCTCCTCGCCGCTGCCTGCGGACCGGACGCACCGCCCGTCTGGCCGCGCCGCTTCACGCTCGTACAGCGGCGCGTGCCCGACGCCTCCGCGTCCGTGAGCCTGGCGACGACGGTCACATTTTACGACGCCGACCGCGGCGCCAACCTCATCCAGATCACGCCCGACGCCAACGCGTCTGACGTGGTCTGGGACCTCGAGCTCGACTCGCGCCTCTCCTACTACTTCACTCCGAGCACCGGACAGTGCAAAGAAATCGCGATGCCCGTGGGAGTGCTCCGGCCGACGTGGCTCTCGAACGCGACCTTCCTCGGCCGGAAGCGCGTCAACGGGCGCGACTGCCTCGCCTACACGAAGGCGGACTTCATCGACTACTACGCCGACGCCACCACCTGCGAGCCCGTCTCGTGGTACTTTCACACCATGCGCGCGCGATTCGACTCGGTCTTCTGGGCGCCCGGCCTCGCGGTGCCGAACGCGAGCTGGCTTGCGCCGCCGCGCTACTGCCGAGAGGAGGCGTCGCCCGAGCCGGTCGCCGCGGCCTCTAAAAAAAAGCTCAAGCTGGAGTAGTAACGCAACCACGCCACAGCGACACATGCATGTCATCACATGCCTCACTACACATAAAGAGTCAGGAAGACGGGGGGGGGGGGGGGGGCATCGTCAGCTGATCGAGGCGGCGGCCAACTGCTGCCGCACCCGCCTCTCGACCACCGTCTCCAGGCTCATCGTCTCGTGCAGGCTGGGGTCGTCGTCCCCGCCATCGCGCGAGGGATAAATGATCGTGCCAAATTTGTCGCCCCCCAGGCAGAGGTCTTCCGGATCGCCGCGCGCGCCGGAACACAGGTAGCGGAGGCGGAGCGAGAGCGGGCCCGCACGCGTCAGCTTGCGCACGTCGGCGGCGTTCACCTTGGTCATCATGCCCTTGCGGCGCGGCCAGCGGCGCGTCGGGTTGCCAAACGCGTCGCACGGCGTGCGCGTCCGCAGCACGTCCAGCACCGAATCGGGCGCATGGCAGTTCAGCGCCAAGTGCAGCGGCCAGCGGCCCAGCCGATCGTTCTGCTCGTCCCTTGGCGCGCCCACACCCACAAAGCGGTCGCATGCTTCGCCGCTCTCCGGCCACGCCTCCAGCAGCAGCCGGCAGCCCGCCGCAGCCGCGTCACGCACGCTTTGCGCGGGCGGGCGCCGCCGCACCATCGCGCCCCACACGCTGCGGGAGAGCTGGCCGGCGGCGCACGCGGCCAAATGGATGGGGAAGTTGCCGTGCGAGTCGAAGGCGCGCGCGGCCTGCGGGCAGAGCTCCAGCAGCCGCGCGACGACGCGCGCCGGCGCCGCGCGGTTGGCCGCGTAGTGCAGAGGGTACGCGCGGCCCGAAGGCCGGTTGGGCAGAGTGTTGGTCGGCGGCGGGTCGGGCTCACTCGCTTCCTGCGGGTGCGCCTGCAGCCGCGCCAACGTGTAGATCTCCGCGCACGCCCCCAGCCGCAGCAAGTCCCTCAGCGGCCACTCCTCATTTGGCGGGTGATGTTCGAGGAGAGCCGCGAGCGCGGGCGCGGTGTGGTCCGTTGCGTAGCTCCCTGCTAGATAGTGCGCGGGGAAGCGGCCGGCGCCGTCCTTGCGAGCGGCCATGTGCGGCGCCGCCTCGAGCAGCCGCAACAGCAGCGGCGTGGGCGCGTCAAACTTGGCGGCGAGATGGAGCGGCGCCATTTTACGCTCGCCGCGAGTGACACCGATCGAGATGTCACGCTCCTCGTCGAGGGCCGCCGGGTACGCGTCGAGGAGCAGCTCGCACGCGGCTAACGCGCGCGACTCGTCCACTGGCGGTGTGAGGCGCTGGCTCTCGCCTGCCGGGCCGCGCGCGAGCAGATGCAAAGGGAGCGCGCCGTCCTCGGTGGCCTCGCGCGCCTCGGCGGTAGAGGCGGCGAGCAGAAGGCGGATGGCGTCGGGGTCGCGCGCGAGCGCCGCGTGGTGCAGCGGCGCGTACCCCATCCGATCGGTCGCCGCGACGGCTGTGGGTTGGCAGCTTAGCAGCAGCGAGAGCGTCGAGGGAGGGCGGCCGTGGATGACGGCAAACGCGAGCGGTGCGTTCTCGTCCGCATCCACCAGCGCCGTGCCTTCCTGGAACAAGCTTGGCTGGCACGGCTGGATGATGGCCCGCACGACGTCGTCGGGCGCGCCGTGTGCCAACGCCAGAAAGAGCGGATGCATCTTGTCCTCTCGGTTCTCACCCTCGAAGAAGTAATCGAACTCTTCATCATCGGCTTCGCAGCAGAGCAGACGGAGGTAGGGCGTCTTGCTGCCCAATTTGGTGAAGTCGTGCATGCTCAGGCCCGCCTCCTCCGGCACGCGCTCGATGCGCAGCAGCGTAGCCTCCCACGACGCGGCGCGGCAGAGCACTGCCACTGGTAGATGCTCAGCTTGCCATTCGGTGTTCGTGAAGGTCTGCGTCAGCAGCGAGCGCCACTGCTCGCAAACGAGCCGGGCGCCGAGCATGTCGCACGGCCGCACACACCGGAGGCAGCACTCGAGCCCATCCTGCCCAAGGTGCTCGTTCAGCTGTACACCGGCCAGAAGGTTGCTCGCCCGAACCTTGACCTCCTCGCCAGTGGTGGTGCAACGCACCGCGTGACGCTCCTTGACAGCGAACAGCACGATGCCCTCCAGTCCGTTGAGGTCTGGGCGAGCAACGAGTCCGGTGAAGATCACACGCTGCGACTCTCTCAGGTCGGACGGACGCATGGCGCTGGAGCAGCTTCGGGTCTGCTCGGCAGGAGGCGGGCGGCGGCGGCGTCGAGGGATAAAAGAATTCTACGATGACAAGCCGCTCTCACAGCAGACTGGCACGAACTAGCACCACAAAAGGATGGGATAAAAGAAAAAAAGACAAGTCCAGGGAGGGATGGGAGGACGGCACGCCGCCACCACACAGGGATTTTAAGGAGAGGGCTGAGGGGTGGGATCCGGCGCTCGCTACCGCTGCCGCCGCCGCTCGCTGCCGCCCGAGCCGAAAAAAATAACATCTCAGGATCGGCCCCCACGGAAGCCGATCGGCGGTCGGGTCTCTCTCTGGCGCGGTTTCACATGCTGAAGTTCGTGCTGGTGGTTTCGGAGCAGCGCAGCTCGAGCACCTTCCTCGCGTCCAGCGTGGCGCGGCAGCTCGATGCGCTGCCCAACGTCCGAGCTCCCCCTGTGAATGAGCCGTGGTTTGCATACAAGAGAGCGATCGCCGTGCAAAGCTCGCTTCCGAGCTCTCACGCCGCGCGTAGGGCCCTTAGCACTTGGAGCACTTGGAGTGCAGTCAGTAACCTCACATCCAGGGCCGGGGAGCTGAGAAGCGCATCCAGCGGGCCGGATGATCGGTATCGGGCTACGGGCTAGAGAGCCCTGACCCCTAACTAGGGGGGGGTGCGCGTTCGCAGGGAAAGGGCCGTAAAGTAAACACGGGTCTCCGAGGGTTGGCTCTGCGCTCCTTAGGCGGCTAGTGCCCTTTCACTGTGGCACAGCACTTGGACGGACGGAAAAACACCCCCCTTTTATGCCTGACCCTGGGCATGGTCTCTCTGGGGGTGAGCTGGGTCGGCCACCTCCGGGGCTGCAACTCGGACGGACGGAAAAACACCCCCCTTTTATGCCTGACCCTGGGCATGGTCTCTCTGGGGGTGAGCTGGGTCGGCCACCTCCGGGGCTGCAACTCGCACGGTGAAACCGCTTCCGGGCGAGCATCCGAGGCCTGCGGTTGTCCCTTCGCTGGGCGCGGCCGCCATGGAGATCCGCTGCACACAGATCAGTGTTTTTGGCGACTATTGCTCGCTCTCTGTGCAATCGCAACGCCAGCGGCCGTGCTTGGAGAATGGGTCGCGATGCTGCTGCGCGCCAGAGGATTGAGCCTGGAGAAGGGGAAGGGGAGTCTGGACGGTCGGCGAGGGGGTTGTAGCAAGCAGCGCGTACGGGGTAGCCGCCACTTTCCTGCCTCACAAGGGCGGGCCTTTATATAAAATGAACTCTCTCGAGGTTCTCGAGGTGGATATCCTTTGGCCGCGTTGGGTAGCGAGGATTGGTGTAACCCGAGCCACGGAGGCGTGTTTTCTGACGGCCGACCGTCAGTGCACGGAGTTGCCCCTTCTCCGACTGCCCCGGCTAGTTCACGAGTTTCGCGGGAGTGACCCCATGCGTCAAACCCGAGACCTAGCGCGGGTGGGTTGGAGGGGCCTCGGAAAGGCGCGCAAGCACGCCCTACGTCTTCCCCTCCTCCCCATCGGGCCGCATGAGCGGCCACGCCTCGCAGATTCGTTTCCGCGCCTGGGTCAGGCGCGCGGGGCACCGGGGCATCCCCCGGGTCGCTCGACCAGCGATCCGAAGAGTGGCCGCTATGCGAAGGAAAGAGTGGGGCCCTCGACGCCTCAGTCTGGCCCTCCGAGGGGGGAAGGGAATTGCGGGGTCCCCTCGGGCGCCTCAGTTCGGCCCTCCCGAGGGGGGGAGGGGAGCAAGGGGGTGGGGGGATTGGGGTGGTGGGGAGGGGTCTCGGATTTCATGTGGCTAACACTTGCCTTTCGGGGAGGGGCCTCCGTACAAGCGAGGCAAGCTCAGCTCGACGTCTTCCCCTCCTCCCTCGAGGCAGCGAGTAGGCAGCGAGAGGAGGTCTCGAGCGCCTATATGAAGGTATGTGAGATGGTGATGGGAATGGGTGGTCGGTCGGTCGGGCGGGCGGGCGGGCGGGCGGGCGGGCGGGCGGGCGGGCGGGCGGGCAAGCGGGGAGAGGCGGGCGGGCGGGGCGGAGCGGGCAGGCGGGGTGATCGGGGGAATCGTGTCCACAATCGGCAGCGGCGGAGCAGCAGCAGCAGCAGCAGCAGCAGCTGCTGTAGCAGCAGGCAGCAGCCTGCCGCAGATTCCTGCCGTTGTCTGCGCCGCGATCCGCCGCCGCGCCGCCGCGCCGCCGCCGCCTGCGCTCGCCGCCGCCTCGTAGACGACTCCTCTCGCGCTTGGAGAGCCGCGCAGCGCGCCGCGGGTTGAGGTCAAAGTGTGCAGCAAAGTGGCGGTCATGAAATCATCAAAATTTGAGGTTGCTCGAGAGAGCCTGGAAACGGTCCCGAGCCGTAGCCCCGGTGTCGGCGCACCGCCTCTCGGCCGCGACGGGCCGGCTCCGCCGCTCAGTCGAGCAGCAGGGGCTCTGGCACAGTTTTGTCGACAAACTGGTCGAGCCAAAAATTGGCGAGGAAGCGGCACCGGCGGCACGCCGGGACGAATCTGGACCGATTACATTGTTTGGCACCGCGGCGGCGAGCCGCCGCGAGCCCACAGGAGAGCTGGGCGCCGCGGCACCAGACCGCGCCGCCAGCGAGGCGAGAGCTGCAGCCGACCGGCCGTGACATGGCAGTTGCAAACGGCGGGATTTCTGCCCTCGGGGGCACGGGCCTTGTCCCGGAAAGTGAGAAACGCCGGGCAGGTTGGTCCACGACTTCAACCTCCCATACGTGTTTGTTCCTTCTTTTCCTGTGTCGAGCCTGTCTGCTGTGAGAGAGAGTTGTTTTCTTTAAATTCTTTTCCTCGGGCTGTTCCATCCTCCCATCTCCTTCCAACCCAGGCGAGGCGGGGGGGGGCGCGCGGGTGCGGAGTGCGGTGCGGTGCGGGTGTGTGCGTGTCATGTGGATACACCTACAGCAAGTGACCATCTGTCAGTATTATTATTCACTCCCTTTGTTCTCTTCTCATAAAATCGGAGGGTCGGCCCACGCGGGGGACCTGAAGCGACCCAACGATTTTATGAGTGGCAGCAAAGGGAGTGCAAAGGGAGTGACTATTATTTACACGAAGGCGCTCCCAAAAAAAGTAACCCCCGGCAACTTGGATCGTAATGATGCACGCTCTGATGAACCTGTGGCTCGCCGTCGGCCTGCTGACGCCGTGTTATGGTTTCTCCCTATCCGGCGCAGTCCCTTGTGCACTCCGCAGCCTTGCCTCGACGCGCCGGCCCGTCAAACTCGCAGCCTCGCAGCCAGACTACCGCCGCTTTGAACTGTGTCGCCTCGGCGAGAGCGGAGAGATTGAGGTGCGGCTGCCGCCGCCGCTGCCTGCGTCGCTGGCCGTAGCGCTGCCCCAGCAGCTCCCGACGCCTCTGTTGCACGACGACGCCTCTGTCGCACGACGACCAGCTCGCCGGCTCGTCCGCCTTAGGAGTGCCAAGTCGTGGACGAGGCCGGCCTGCTGGAGGTGCTCGGCCCGGTGGCGGCGGAGAGAGTGCTGCTCGACCCCGCCTCGGCGGAGCTCTTCTTCACCGCGCCGGCCAACGTGAGCGGCGCGCTGCCCGGCTCCCCAGCCGACGGGGCCGGCAGGTTCTTCACTCTCGCGGACTGGCAGGTCCCGCCTCGTGTTTGCCACCTCTCCGCTGCCACCTCACCGCTGTCACCTCATCCCACCTCACCGCTGCCACCTCACCGCTGCCTCCGGCCTGTAGGTCCGCCAGTGCGTCGACGAAGAGGTCTGCACTTGCATGTCGGTGCTCGCATGATGTTAGATTACTTCATCATTTGCATTCATATCTTGCAGGTCTGCGACTTGCACGAGTCGGTGCTCGCGCGGGCCCTCGGGCCGCAGGCGCGTGAAGTAGAACCAGTACCCTCGCGACGACGATGAAGTGCTGTCCTTAGAGTTGTTGGTGCTGTTGCTGACGTCACTGATGTCTCTGGTTGCAGGCGCACGAGCAGGCCGCCGCGAGGGCCGCAGCCGCCGCTGCAACAGCTTCGGACGCCGCCTCCTCCTCCTCCGAGCCCGAGTCCGCAGCAGACGGGGACGGGGGCCGTTCTCCTGGGCGGTACCACGTGCACTTTGGCGCGGGGCGGCTGGGGATGGGGCTGGTGGTGCCCGCGATCTCTGCGTCCGGCATCCCATTCGCTGTCGTGCAGCGGCCGAAGCGAAAGTGGCAGGAGCCGCGCCCCGCCGCGCGTCCACTGACTAGCCCCAGTCCACACGAATGAGCGCCTAACCACTCATGAACAGGAGCTCTTCCACCGCGCGTCCACTCACGAACTCGCACCGATTCATTAACTAATGACTCAACTCATAGGAGCTGTTCCACCGCGCGTCCAAGGGCACAGGCGCCGACCAGGTCGACATCAAGGTCAACGGCGAAGTGGTTGCTCACCGGCTGGAGGCGATCGCTGCGGCAGATTGTCGTTTTGCCCAGCCTCCTCTGGTGGATTCATTAATGAACGAGTCAGGCGATCGCTGCGGCGGACGGGACGCCAGACTTCTTGCCGCCGCAAGCGCTCGTGTTTGGTGACTCGACCGAGGCTTGCTGCGTGGTGAGCAGCGCGCCGCATCTCGGGTGGACCTCGGGTGCATCTTGGCGCGCGTCTCGTAGGAGCTGCTGCCGATTGTACAGAGCGCGACGTCGCTCTCCTGCTCGCTCGGCGCGGCGATGGCCAAGGTGCTGACGCCGCTGCTGAGCCAGCTGCCGGCGGCGGAGGAGGGGGGGGGGGGGTGCCGCCGCTGCGCTGTGAGTGGGTAACGATCTGACCAGTTGGGTATGCGCGAGTCAGGAGGGGGAGGTGCCGCCGCTGCTCTTCGCGTGCGAGAACGACCACGACGCCGTCGTTCGGCTGGGCGAGGCGCTGGAGGGGCGAGTGAGGGTGGTGGACTGCATGGTACACCGCGTCTGTGCACCGGCAGGGAGGCTGTGAGCAGCGTCTCTTCACACCTACTGCTGTGAGCAGGTCGACCGTGTCTGCACCGGCAGGGAGGTGCGGCCCGACGCGATCGCCGTCGAGGCAGAGCCGTGGCGCGGCTCCATCGTGCCGCTCGCGCCAGGCACCGCCGACGGCTCACGTTGTATCACATTATGGCATTATCACGTAATATCGTATACATTGCAGGCATCGGCGACTTCCGCCCCTTCCGCTCGATCAAAAGTAGTAATCCTCCTCCTCTCCTCCTCCTCCTCCTCCTCAGGCATCGGCGACTTCTCGCCCTTCTGTTCGGCGGTCGCGACGGCGCCGGACTCCCAGTCGGAGGCCGAGGACTATTGTTGTTCTGAGTTCTCACAAGTGCTGCTTCTTATTGTTAGGTGCCGGACTCCCAGTCGGAGGCCGAGGACTAGTATTGTTCTGAGTTCTCACAAGTGCTGCTTCTTATTGTTAGGCGCCGGACTCCCAGTCGGAGGCCGAGGACTAGTATTGTTCTGAGTTCTCACAAGTGCTGCTTCTTATTGTTAGGTGCCGGACTCCCAGTCGGAGGCCGAGGACTAGTATTGTTCTGAGTTCTCACAAGTGCTGCTTCTTATTGTTAGGTGCCGGACTCCCAGTCAGAGGCCGAGGACTAGTATTGTTCTGATTTCTCACAAGTGCTGCTTCTTATTGTTAGGTGCCGGACTCCCAGTCAGAGGCCGAGGACTAGTATTGTTCTGAGTTCTCACAAGTGCTCCTTCTTATTGTTAGGTGCCGGACTCCCAGTCAGAGGCCGAGGACTATTGTTGTTCTGAGTTCTCACAAGTGCTGCTTCTTATTGTTAGGTGCCGGACTCCCAGTCGGAGGCCGAGGACTAGTATTGTTCTGATTTCTCACAAGTGCTGCTTCTTATTGTTAGGTGCCGGACTCCCAGTCGGAGGCCGAGGACTATTGTTGTTCTGAGTTCTCACAAGTGCTGCTTCTTATTGTTAGGTGCCGGACTCCCAGTCGGAGGCCGAGGACTAGTATTGTTCTGAGTTCTCACAAGTGCTGCTTCTTATTGTTAGGCGCCGGACTCCCAGTCAGAGGCCGAGGACTATTGTTGTTCTGAGTTCTCACAAGTGCTCCTTCTTATTGTTAGGTGCCGGACTCCCAGTCGGAGGCCGAGGACTAGTATTGTTCTGAGTTCTCACAAGTGCTGCTTCTTATTGTTAGGTGCCGGACTCCCAGTCAGAGGCCGAGTACTTGTCCGAGCGAAAGTTCTCGCTAGTCAACGGCATGCCCACCGTGCTCGCGTTCCTCGTCTCTCCCCACACCTCCCCATCTCTCCGCATGCCTCCCCACCAGGCATGCACACCGTGCTCGCCTTCCTCACGCTGCGCTGCTCGTGCGACCTCGCCGCGGCGCCCGACGCGAGGCGCTGTGTGTGCTGTCTAAAGTACTCGGAGATGGCTCAATGCATCCGTACTCTGAGTCTCTGCCGATAGGCGCGAGTACGTGCTGCTAAAGTACTCGGAGATGGCCCGCGAGGAGCAGCGCATGTGCGAGGCTTGCGGCCGGCGGTGCGGGCGGCGTATTGCATCACATTGGACATCAACATGGTGTTCCTATCCACAAGGCGTGGCTGGCGGTGCGGGCGGCGCGGCTTGTCGACACATTCGGCTCCGAGGCGCTCGCTGCACGGCACGACTGCGGCATAGAACATGTTTCCCAACATGTGCATTCGTGTCTGATTCGCTAGGCGCTCGCCGCGTGGCATGGTTGCGGCAGCGCCGAGGAGGCGTGGGACGAGCTTCTCTCGTTTGGTGAGTGCGTGCTCGAGGCGCGCTTCTACACATCTCTCCCCCATCTCTCCCCCATCTCTCCCCCATCTCTCGAGTGCGTGCTCGAGGCGCGCTTCTACACATCTCTCCCCCATCTCTCCCCCATCTCTCCCCCATCTCTCGAGTGCGTGCTCGAGGCGCGCTTCTACACATCTCTCCCCCATCTCTCCCCCATCTCTCCCCCATCTCTCGAGTGCGTGCTCGAGGCGTCGAGAAGCTTCTCGTGCATCGACGGCGCCGCCGGTTAAAAAGGAAGACTCATACTTCATGACCCCTCTTCCAGGAGCGCTTCTCGTGCATCGACGACGTCGTGTCGCGCGTGCTCGGCGGCGGCGTGGCGAACCGGTGGCTGACCCGCCTCCGGCCGGCGCAGGCGCGATCACTGAGTCAGCGAGAATAGTCTGAGTCCCCGCGCTCTGAGTCGTCATTTTCTCGTCCATCGAACCCTCACTCATCCACCTCTTTCAAATCGAGCTCTTGGCTGCTGACCAGTGGGCGGTGGTGTAGCCCTCCTGACCCGTCCTTGCAGGAGTGGGCCTCGGCGCGGGAGGAGGGGCGGCGCTGCGCCGCAGAAAGGCGACCACGCGTCGGGAGGAGCCGCGGAGTGGCCTCTAGAAGCACAAAGAGACGGTGGAGAATGAGCCCACAGGTTCGACGCGTCGGCGGCGGCGGCCGAGGCGGAGACGCTCCGCTTCCTCGGCCACGCGATGGCGCGCTTCCGGCGGCGCGCCGTCGAGCGGGTCTACCACCGGCAGGTGGCCGAGAGAATCTAGATGCGAGCCATGCCCGAGATATGCCCGAGATATGCGCGAGATGTGGGCGTGCCGCCGGCAGGTGTCCGAGATGTGCCCGAGATATGCCCGAGATATGCCCGAGATATGCCCGAGATATGCGCGAGATGTGGGCGTGCCGCCGGCAGGTCGAGGCGGAGTTCGAGTCGGACGAGGCTGCGGCGGCGTGGGTGGTGGCGCAGGTCGAGGAGCTGACGCGCTCCTCGCGCGCCTTTTGCAAGCGCGAGGTCGAGATCACGCAACAGGGCCTCCTCGTGGAGGGGCGGTCGCTGTGAACAGCGCCTCTTCACGCCTGCAGCTGTGGACAGGCACAAGAGCCTCATCAAGGAGCAGCGCAAGCTCGGAGGCAAGGCAAAGTCGCCTCGCGTGCAGGCTGGTCATATCTCCCCCATATCTCCCCCCACATCTCCCCCATATCTCCCCCATATCTCAAGGCAAAGTCGCCTCGCGTGCAGGCTGGTCATATCTCCCCCACATCTCCCCCCCATATCTCCCCATATCTCCCCCATACCTCAAGGCAAAGTCGCCTCGCGTGCAGGCTAGTCGTGCGTTGCTCAGTACAGAGATGTGCCCGAGATGTGCCCGAGCTGTGCCCGAGCTGTGCCCGAGCTGTGCCCGAGCTGTGCCCGGGAGATTGGAGGGCATGGACCTCACCACCGCAAGAGCTGTTCGAACTGAGTCCATACTGGTAGGCCGCCGTCGAGCAACGTCGTGCTGCCTTCGACCAGCTCACCGCAGCCAGGGGCGCGCCGCGCACGCCGGCCGGCGGCGACGGCGACGGCGGCGGCGGCGGTGGCGGCGGCGGCGGCGGCAGCGGCGGCGGCGGCGACGGTGGCGGCGGCGGAGTTACTGCTGCTACCGGCTCCGTTGCGAGCACGGGCGGCGGCGCCGCCGCGGCGGCGGCGGCGCGCGCTGCGGCGGCGCGGGCGGGCAGGGTTGGGATGCGAGCTTCGACGGGGGCAGCAGGGCTGAGGGTGCGGGGAGGCCGTGCAGAGATGCTGGAGGGCTCTGCTGGGGTGGAGGCGCCGCTGGAGGAGGTGTACGCCGCGATCGCTGACGCGCAGCCGGAGCAGCAAGCTGCATACTCTAGCTGGATCGGCGGCGTCGACACTGAAGCGGAGGCGGCTGCTGCGGCGGCGGCGGGGTGCATTCTCGACGTCGGCTCGGGCACACTCACTTACGCAGCCGATTTCGCCCCGCCCGAGCTCTGCTTTGACTTGCTCTACTGCCGGCACGGAAAGACGACGGGCAGCGCACCGCTTCGCGCGTGTGAGAGCGGGCCGTGCAGAGGCGCCGTTCACACGGGGGCTCGACTGTGAACAGGCAACACCGAGCCGCGCGTGTACCAGGGCTTCGTCGACGAGCCCGAGAACGCGCTCAACGAGGTTGGACTGGCGCAGGCGGAGGAGGCGGCGGAGCGTCTCGAGGCGCTCGGCGTCGCCCCGGATCTGGTGGTGCTCTCGCCGCTCTCCCGCGCCTCCGAGACGGGGATGGCGTGGGTGCGGCGGCATCCTGAGGCGGCGGGGCTTGTCGAGACGTGGGACGAGACGGCCGAGATGCGCTTCGGCGCGTGGGACAACGTCAAGGTGCCAATCAAGCTCGGCTCCTCTCGGCTCCAACTCGGCGTGTTTGCGCGTGGGGCGGCAGGCAGCGCCAGTGGCAGTGGCTTTGCCTGCAGACCAAGCTCGGGCCGTCTCTGCTGATCTCGGCTCTCAGCTCATCTCGGCTCTCACTTCGGCAGGTCAAGGACTTGCCCGCCGACTCGATCTGCCACCTCTTTTACCTCGCGCAAAACGCGCTCGTCCGGTCGGCGGCGCCGTACACCCGGCCGGCCGACGGAGCGGCCTTCGAGTCGGAGTCGTTTGTGCAGCTGCTGACGAGGATGGGAGCCGTGCTGGACAAGCTCGAGGCTCGCATGGCCCCGCTCGCGGCCGAGCGTGCCGCCGCCGGCAAGCCGCCCCCCCTCGTCCTGATGTACGGCCACTCGATGGCCGGCGCGGCGCTGGGCGTGCTCACGGGCAACGGCAAGCGGGTGGACGGCGAGGGCTACCTCGGCTTCGACGGGAAGTACATCCTGCCAAACGCGACCCCCGTCTACCTGCACCGCTGCCGCTGAGCCGCCGCCGCCGTTGGCTGCCGCGCCGAGCTTCCGACGGCTGGCGGGGCCGGTTGGTGCCGTGGCGCGGACTTTGGCCGGCGGCACCCTCACGGCGGCGAGAGCTCAGGCCGCTCTCGACCGCCACAGTCGCCACCCTCCCCTCTCTACATGCATGCGTTGGTGACGGCGATTGCCGAGATCGAGACCCCCTGGTTTGTGACGGGCGCGTATATGTTCCGTGTTTGATCGGTGGAGTCAGAGAAATATCGTCCCGCCGGGAGTCATGTCTCATGAGAGATGTGACTTTTGTGCGGAGGTGCACGAGAGACTCTAGTTGCATTAGTCTGTGGTGCAAAACCCGCCCAAAACTACCAAAATCGCTGTCACGGCAGCTCGGCACTATCTAAAAAAAGTGACGAGAGCACACCCATTTTAAGCGTTCGCCGCATACACAAGGTCCGCCTGCGTGCGGCGCCAGCTTCTCAGGGCCGTAGCGCGCACGCGACCGCGCACACGGCGACCCTCCCCGGCTGGAGATCACTCGAGATGACCCGAGATGGCCCGAGATTAGGTACGCGCACGCGACGGCGCACGGCGACCTCACTCTCGAGCGGCTCCACGTCGGCATCTCGCAGTCCGTCTCCTCGCCCGCCATCTCCACCTCCGCCGCAACCGTCGGCGGCACGCTCTGCCTCACCGTGAGCTGCCCCGACACCCACCTCGGGTGATCTCGGGTGATCTCGGGTGATCTCGGGTGATCTCGGGTGATCTCGGGTGATCTCGGGTGATCTGGAGATTAGGTGAGCTACCCGACCCCCATCTGGAGCGACGCGGCGGCGGACGAGTACGCGGACGGGCTGGTGCGCCTGCTCGAGCTCGCGGCGGCGGACGGAGAGGCGGGGAGCGGGTGAGGGCTTAGGGTCCACTAAGCAATCCCAATCGTCCTATCGTCCTGTCTCCCCTAGTCGTGTTTGGAGACCTTTTGCTGAATGAGGGGAGGGGGTATGTCGTGAAGAAGACTGAACGTCGCGCTCGCCTGTGTGTCCCATGTCTGCTTCGCCTTTCTGCATAACCAACATGCACATGCACATGTCCGACATTCCTAGATGGCCTCCAAAATTGCATTTTCTTTTGGTTTTGGGTCTACCCAGTGTACCCAGAGCGACTCCCAGTACAACGGACCCACCCAAAAAAACTTCGGTCCCGGGTACGGCTCGGCCTACGGGGTACGTATGAGTGATTTCTCTTCCGCGCGACACGGGCGCCTCCCTCATCCATACTCTAGAGAGTAGAGACGTCGCCCAGAGAGGACCGTATTGACGACCGTGCCGTCGAGCCCGTCGATGTCGACCGGTAGCTCGTCCGCGTGGTCGGTGTCGGGGTACGCGTGCGCGTAGCCCCTGGAGCAAGTCGAGTTCATGAAGCGGGACACCAGCGTCGAGTGCGGCACAGACGAGCACGACTCCATCAGGCTGCTGGCCGGCTTCCTGATCGGCGTTTGGCCGCTCGGCTCGCTGCTGCTCTTCTCATCGCTCCTCATCCCGTGCAGTCATTCGATTCGGACGCGCTCACCCAGCGCTTTGACCCTGGCCACCGCGTTTCTCCACCGGGAGTACAAGCCGAAGTGGTATTGGTGGGAAGTGTTTGAGCTGGCGCGCAAGCTCGTGCTGACGGGTGCGCTGCTGCTCATCCCGGAGAAGCGCGCCTTCCTTCGCATCGTGGTGGCGACATTAATCTGCGCTGTCGATGTCGCGCTCACAGCAGCCGCCCGGCCCTACAAGCGGATTGAAGACGGAGTCCTCGCTGTCGTGCGCGCCACCCCACCCCTCCCCGGCGCACCCTCCTTAAGAGGTGACGTGTAGTGCCCACTCGCCCCAGGCTGCGAGCCTCATGCTCCTCCTCGTCTTTCTTGGCGCCAACTGGACCACCATCTTCCTCAGCATCGAGGAGCGCTGCCCAGGAGTAGCGGGCGTGGCCTCCTCCATCCTTGCCTTTGACAACGTGGATGACATCGTCAACACGTTGATCGCCCTCGTGTTTGTCATGCTCGCCTTTTTCCTGGTGAGTGCCATCTTTGCTGCACGGCGCATTGCCCGCAAGCCAAAGATTCTGCTGGTCTCTTCGAACCAGCCGCCCGAGCTGACGCTGGCGCGCCACATGAAGTGGCATCTCTTCAACAGCCACATCTGGTCCACCGGCCAGGACGCCGCCGCGGTGATCAAGAATCAGCTCAAGCTGCTTCTACCGGGCATCAAAGTCTTTCTCGACGTGCGCTCGACAGGCAGCGCTACAATCGTAGAGCGGCCTTGACCGCCGGACCTCGATCGATAGGTCGACGACCTTGCGGACATCGGCGCTCTCGAGGAGTACATCCGCCGAACGCAGGTTATCCTCATCTTTCTCTCGAAGGGCTACTTTAAAAGCAGGGTGTGCCCCCCCCCCCCCCCCCCTTCATCCAAGCCTCAACCGCACCACCCCACCTCACCGCCCCATAGAACTGCCTGCGGGAGGTCCGCGCGTCGATCGAGCAACGCAAACCCTTGGTGCTGGTGCAAGAGACTGATCCAGCCAAGGGCGGCAGCCTCAAGGCACAGCGACTCGCGCTCTGCAACGCGCTCAAGCCACCATGGGCCACCGCTGGCCCATCCCTCGCAGGAGCTGCGCGAGGAATGCCCCCCAGAGCTGCGAGCGGCCGTCTTTGACCGGGGGTGGCGTCGGGTGCTCTGGCTCCGGGTCGACGATTTCAGGCTCGTCTCGCTCAAGCTGATTGCCGAGGCGACGACTTCTCCTCACACCCACGATGTTCACGGCCGCTATCCCCCCAACTCTCTCGACCCATCCCCTCTAGGCCCTTCTCCTGCACACGCCTGACTTCCGGAGAGAGGCGTCGCTACCGCTCTTCGTGCCAGGGGAGTTGAGGCGGGAGGAACTTAGCTTCCCCAAGCACGTTTTGCTCTGGGTATCTCCCGTCAACGCGGGCGCACAGGAACTGGCCGATGAGGTGGAGGAAGCGGTCCTAGCGGACGCATCGAATCGAACGTCAAGGAACTCTCCCTGCTCAAGCCAGCCAAAAACCAACCTCTCCGTCATCACGGCGGACGCTCTGCCCGAGCAAGCGACCCACATGCTGCTCAACCTCTGCGAGGAGAGCTGGTCCGATGAGCGGCTCACCGAGCAGGCTCTCTTGGGAGGTGGGGGAGGTGTGCGTGCGCGCCTAGCCCTCCAACGGCGGTGAACGTGCTGCGATAGGTCAAGGCTGCGCGAGAAGTCAAACTGCCCATAGTGATGGCGCACGAGAACGACCCGGCGCGCCACGGCTGCCCCTTTTCTCGCTTCTTTGAGATCACGCCACAGGAGCTGATCGCCGACGGCCTCTACAACGACCTCGCCATCGGCTTCTTCCCCGGTCACCACCGCCAGGCGCCGGCCATTCCTCTGCCGGACCGGCACTGCAAGGAGGGGCCAAATTAGTCCTGCACATCTTCGTAGGTCTCCCTCGCACTGCTGCTCAAAGCGCTCAGCGCGACGCCACAAACCGGCCGATGGTCCGTTGCGGCTTGCTGCCGCTCTGTTGCCTCCTCTTGCCGTTCCTTGCTGACCTGTTGCTGAGGAGGTGAAGGGTTTGGCGGTGACTGTATGATGCGGCATGAATGAACGGGTCGTCGCCAAGCCCGGCCCACCGCCGGAACCGCCGCCGCGTGTCATTCTCGGACTCCCTCTCCTCAAAGCCGTACACTCCTCGGCCTCGGCCCGCAGGCTTCTCCGCCCCTCGGCGGGCGCGGTCGCTACTGGGCTGGGTTTTTAGGCATTGTGGGGTCGGCACTCCCAACGACCCTCATGACCTCCTGCGGTCTCTGAGATGGACACCAGTGGGTGTGGGACCACAGCCAGGATACACTCGAAGGCTGGGTAAGCAGTAGATGTCGATACTCGACGCGTCCCACATGGTCTGTGTCGCTGTCGGCACGCTGTCGACAGGACGTCGAGCGACACCGGTGGCAGTGCCACCCAGGAGTGGTCGGGTGGTCTCCCGTCATAAGAGAGCCACCATGTGATCCGTATGATGATTCCTGACAACCGCCTCAGTCAACTTTCGTCACAGTTCCCGCTCTGAGAGGAGCTGCGGGTCAGTTCGACAGCTGGAGCTGTGTCGCCGGCGTGCGGCGGCCTGCCTCCGGAGGTGCCTCTGAGGTGGACATTTTTTGGTCACCGTGAGAGAACGCGTTCGAATTTTCACTCCGGAACTTCAACTGAGCACGCGCACCGGCCAGGGCTACAATAGTGCCAGTGAGGCGAAGGCGCGAGTCGGAAAGCCGCGACCGTGATTTGGTCCCTCCCCTTACCTACAATCGCTGTGAACCCAGCCACGTAAAGCGTAAGCCCGCCCCCCACCCCCCGCCGCGTTTGGTTCGCTCTAGCGTCTAGGGTATGCAACTTGGTTCGTGTCGGTGTGTGTGTAAGTGTTGAGCTTTTAATTACCTGCTCGGAGGAAAGGACTGCACACAACTAGTCCTCCTCGTCCGAGTCGGACTGCCGGGCGAGGTCCCGCTCCCAGTCGCTCAGGCCGAGCAGCGAGCCCGTGTCCGACTCGCCGTCGCCGTCGAGGGGACTCGCGGCCCCCGAGACGGCCGGCGCTGCCTTCGGTCCCTCGCCCCCCTCGGCCGAGACCTCCTTCTCCCGTCGTGCGAGAGCAGCCGGGGCCACACGGGCCGACGCCACCTTCCACGCCGCCACTTCCGGCCCGGCCAGCGGCGGCCGCGGGCAGGGCGGCGTGGGCGGCGGCGGCGGCGGCGGCGGCGGCTGCGGCGGCTGCGGCGGCGGCGGCGGCGGCGGCGGCGGCGGCGGCTCCTCCCCCTTCGCCGCCTCCGCTTTCTCCGCCTCCTTGGTGCGCTGCCACCACGCCTCCGCCTCCTCGGGCGACGCGGGGACTGCTGCTCCGCTAACGTAGGGCGCCCTCCGCCGCAGCTTTGCGCAGGCCGCGGCGGCGCACGCCTCGAGGCTCACGGCCGCGGGGGAGAGGTCCCTCGCGGCGACTCGAATGAGGAGCAGCACGTCGAAGAGCATGTCCCCCAGCCTGTGCACGGCTCCCTTTCTTGTGTGGTGTGTGGGCACGGCGGCACGTCGCGTCTCCTCTCGAGTGCTGGAGTGCATGGTAGGGTGCGGCAGGGGTACCTTATTCTCCGCATCTAGCTCCCCCACTCGGAGCAGAGAGCGGACTCGTCGATCTCTTTCGCCCGCAGCACCTCCTCCACCTGTGAAGAGGGAAGGAGGTCGCTGTGAAGAGAGAGAAGGAGCTGTGAAGAGAGAGGTGGGGAAAGAGGCGGGTCCGCAGCTCCGTGTGCAATCTCGGGCAATCTCGGGCCATCTCGGGTCTCGGCCATCTCAGGCCATTCCACCTCGAGCAGCTCCTTCCGGGTGTGGAAGAGCAGGTCCGCAGCGCGCTGCCTCGCCGTCCAAGGGCACACCTCGCCCAGCCGATCCACGCAGCCCGCAAGCTGTGCGACTGCGAGGCTGTCGGACGCCCCTACCCCCCTCTCCTCCTCCTCCCCATCCTCCTCCGCCTCCTCCTCCGACGACGACGATACCCAGCCTGCCGCCACCCTCGCCGCCTTAAGCTTCACCGCCTCCGCCTCCGCCTCCAGCTCTGCCGCCAACGCCGACAAAACAGTTGTTTGGTATTGCTAAAAATCTCTCCCAACGCCGCCGCCCGGGCGCCCACAAACGCCACGGCCTCCTTTCCTCTAGGAATAGAGCGCCTCCGAAAAGTAGCGCCCCGCGTAAGTCTCCATCAGTGCTTCGTAATGAGGTCCCGCGTGAGCGCGATTCTCAGATAAAGAATTCGTGCGCCACACCTGAGAAGGGCCCCGGACCGGAGTGGCTTTTTTTTTTCTCTTTTTTTAGCGCGCTTTTTTCTCTTTTGCCCTTTCTGCCGATGGCTCACGCCGGCGCGTCCGACCATTGGGAGCGCCTGTGGGCGTCCGGCTTGGCCAAAGGCGACAAGTTCGACGTCGGCGGGCCCAGCGCGACGCTCCTCGGCGCTCTCCGCCGGCTAGATCCCGTCTCCGAGGGTGCGACGGCGCTGGTGCCCGGAGCCGGTCGTGCCTACGATGCGCTGGCGCTCGCCGCGAGCGGCTTCGCCCGCGTCGTGGCGCTCGAGCTGTCACCCTCAGCCTGTGACGCGGCGAAGCGCGAGATCGAAGCGTCGGGCCACCCACGTGCGGCGTCAGTTGAGGTCTGTTGCGGCGACTTTTTCCGGCACACGGGAGCCTATGACCTGGTCTGGGACTGCACCTTTCTCTGTGCGCTCGACCCGTCGGTGCGGGAGCGGTGGGCGGCGGCGCACCGCTCGCTCCTCAAGCCGCAAGGCCGGCGGCAGTAGACGTTGCTCTCTCCTCCTCTCGCTCCCTCTCTCCCTCCCTCCCTCCCTCCCTCCCTCCCTCCCTCCTCTCGCTCCCTCCCTCCCTCCCTCCCTCCCTCTCTCCCTCCCTCCCTCCCTCCCTCCCTCCCTCCCTCGAGCCCCTCCCTCCCTCCCTCAGGCCGCCTCCTCACCGCCATCTTCCCCATCGACGCCAGCCGCCCGGACGGCTCCGGCCCGCCCTAGCCTCTCTCGCTCGACCTCCTGCGTCGCCTG